AGGGACACAGGGACACCAAGGGACACAGGGACAGTGAGGGACATAGGGACAGACGGACACAGGGACAGTGAGGGACACAGAGACAGTGAGGGACACAGAGACAGTGAGGAACACAGGGACAGCAAGGGGCACAGGGACAGTGAGGGACACAGGGATTGTGAGGGACACAGGGATAGTGAGGGGCACAGGGACACCAAGGGACACAGGGACAGTGAGGGACACAGGGACAGTGAGAGACACAGGGACAGTGAGGGACACAGGGATTGTGAGGGGCACAGGGACAGCAAGGGGCACAGGGACAGTGAGGAATACAGGGACAGCAAGGACAGTGAGGGGCACAGGGACAGTGAGGGGCACAGGGACAGTGAGGGACACAGGGACAGTGGGGGACCGCAGGCACTGGGCAGTGACAGCTCAGGGAAGGACAGGGCTGTGTTCAGTGGGCTGATGTTCTGCAGCAGCAGTACCACAGCCCTGCCCAGCACCCAGGAGCCACAGGCTCCTGCCAGAACGTGATCACGAGTCCCTCTCTCAGGATGGGGATGGGCCAGACCGCAGAGCAGCCCCTCTGCAGCTCTTACACAAAAACACAGGTAACACCCCGAGCCCCCCTGCAGCAGCTGGACCTCTCTGTCTTCACCACAGAACCACAATTGTTTTTCATCGTTTTTCTTGAAACACAAGAGCTGGCTAAGGGAAGCAAGAGGCAGAAAGCATCTTGTTAATGAATGTATTTATTTTTGTTATGATTATTTCTGCCTCTCTTTTTGCTCTGCCTAAGTGGTGCCCTCAGGTCTGAGCATCAGGGCTTGCCATGGGATAACAAGCACTGGAAGCAGAGCCCATCTCTGCCTCCAGCCAAGAAACACTCAGACAATTTGCAAACTCACCATGACCATCACGGTGGGATTTACTAACAAAAGAACCAGGAGGACAACAGTTGTCCTTTCAGTGATGGATCCCTCCTGGTTCACCTAATCCTGAACAAATCTAAAAGCTGCAAAACCTCAGGTCGGGCTGTTCATTTGAGTTTCTCTGTGAGCTGTAAACCTGTTAGGAACTCTCCTCTATTTCCTGTTTTGGCTAAGACAGAAATATAATTGTCTATTTCTGCATACAAAATCTTTATTTACAAAACAACCTTTGCAAGGAGGGAGCACATGGCTCTCCGTGTGTGCTCTCTGTGGAAGGCCTGTTTTTAATTTTAGCCTGGACAGTCATTAGGAACTGTAGTTTCTTTACCTGCAGTGTGTATGCTTTTCTTTTTTGAAACCTTAAACTGTTTGGGGTTTTTTTATGAAGTAAAGAGTTTTGAGTCCAAAAGCTGTTAAGAGTTTAGTCACTGACTGCCATCACTTTCAGGAGACTCTCTACAAAAGCTTCCAATATGAGCATTACAGTGCATGAGAGAGTAACAGAGAAATTCACAGGGATGTTACAGAGTTTTTAAAATAATCTTATTTCTCAGAAATCAGGGACATTTGTGCCAAATGCCATCTCTATATACCTTAAATGTCACTCACCCAGAAGCTCGCTGTCAAATTGTGTCTCTGGTTAGAGATAACACAATGCAGATGCAAACCACAAGCATGAACTGGTCTTAGTGGTTTCTCAAAAGACTTGTCTCAGAGTTGTAAGGCAATACACGTAGAGAAAGAGACCCCAGAACACAAAGCTCTCTTTTTTTTTTCCTGTCATATCAGAGCAGACTAAAAAATTCTGCCGTCTGAGGATGAAATTATTTTTAACATCGGTAAAGCGTTACTTGTACAGGAAGCCCCAGAATAAGCTTTTACAACTTGTATGAGAAAAGACTGTAATTTAGCCCTCCACATCTTATCAGAATTGCGGATGCAAAACTGGCTCCTGAGCCCCAGAGCTCGGCCAGATTCCTTAAGAAACACACTTTATTCCTGGGAACGTTCAAAAGCCATGTGGACGTGGCACCTGGGGACACGGTTTAGTGGTGATGGGTTAAGAGCTGGACTCGATGTTCTTGGGGGTCTTCTCTAACCTTAGTGATTCTGTGATTCTGTGCAGCTTTCCACTGTGTTAAGAGAAAATGGACCAAAGGTCTCAGGGTGTCATGAACTGCTAAGAGGAATGAGCTTAAAGGCTTTCCCAGAGAGTTACTAATTATCAGTAGTCACTCACAGAAGGAACGAGGGAGTAGCTTCCTCTTGGCATCTGCAACGTTTAGATATTATTCCCATTACAGTCAGAAGCATAAGAGTCTAGCAGACCATTTCTAATATCTCAGGTGGAAATCTTCTCTGGGGAGATGGGCATGTTCTCTGGGGAGAGCTTCAGACATATGCCAGTCAGTTGTTGCAGTCAAATACCACCCAAAAGCAAAATAATTGCTTTTGTGAAATAGATACACAGGAATTAGCACCATCCAGAGAGTTCATTCAGCCCTACTAGCAGTTATTTATACAGAGAGGAGTCACCTCCCATCCTCAAGCTGGACAGATAATCTACTTGTATGAGAAAGATGATGACAACACTTTAAAATTTTAATGCTAGGACAAAGTGATTTATTCCCTCTGGTCAATATTTAGGCTGCTTGTTCTATTTTGATTTCTTAAATGAAAAAATTATGTGAGACTATTACATAGTCTCTCTCTGAGACTATTATATACACTATATAGCTCTGGCTATACAAGAATTAAGAGCAGTAATCTGTTATCAGTGATTTACTTAGAAGTAAATTAAAACCTGTTGAGACTTTAAATGGAATTTGGAAGATTTCTTGCATGTTGAACATAGCCAGTGTCCAGTTGTTAGTGAAGGATTTGAAACAGTGTTAATAACCATGCAAAACAACATAAATACTGTCACATTTAAATGTCAAGCAGTAAAAGAATTCACTAACTAGTGCAGAAGCAAGCATATTAACCAAATATGTCAGATTAAAGAAATGGCACCAGTGAGGCACTTTCAGCACCTCAGAGCTCTAAACTGTGAGAAAACCAAATCTGTGAACTACCAGAAAAAAACCCTGCATGTTTTCAACTTGACTGTGAGCTGACTGCTAATATGATACTGCCAGTTGAGTGTTATAAAACATTCAAAAAGAAACTAAATGTTTTGGAAAACAAGTGCTTGCATGCTGGGAATGGAAATAGTTTCTTTACTAACACAGAGACCATGAGAAATCACCAGTCAGTGGCTTGTCTTCACCAGAACCAGCGGTGCTGGACATATTTTGGTCATGTCCTCCAGATTATATTAACAGAATGTCTCCTGCAGGAGTTATTGGGTGGAAGAATGGTCACAGGCAGCAATCAGCAACAGACAGGTGGGAGGAACTGATTCCAGACAATGCTCCCAGCAAAGGCTTCAGACATACGTCAGGTGGCATTCACAACTGCCACAAACATTGGTTTGCAGGATAGTCACTGGAAACATTCCTATAATATATCACAAGCCTCAAGAGGAGAACCTACTTCTATCCGTTATACCACCCTCCTGCAAAATGTTCTGTGGGTCAGCTTGGCTTATCAGCCTCCTTGGCATCTGAGTTCAGGCTCATCCTTGTCAGACACACCTTAGTCGAGAGGTTAAAATGCTTTCCTCAGTTAAATTTCCCTGATCCCATGGACTCCTTCAGGACTAATCTACATGTGCTGGCTGATTTCTCCAGTTTTGCAAATAACCAAAAATTATTTCTGATGAGCCCTCCCCTTCCCAAGCACTCAGCCCAGGCCACTCCATCCAGACCCGGCCCCTGAGTCACTTCACACGACTCATACCTTGCCAGTTAGGTTTTCTCTGCTTCTGACACACTGTCCTTGCCCAGCTGCCTTCTCTTGCTCCATCCCTGTTCCATAAACTCTGATACTGGAGCTGCAGCTCTGCTCCCCATCTGAGGCTGCTTTGCTCCCAGATGCAATTCCTGTAATTTATCCCATTAATGGGGTGGGGACCTCATTAATACCCCGATACCATTCTCATCACTGTGGGTCCTGTCCCAGCCTCAGAGCCTTACCCTGCACTTCCCACCTCTCCTTGGAAATGACTTTATTTCCCTCTTGAGTGCGGGGACAGGAAACAGAAAAACAGCAAAGGCAACACAATAAACCCAGAGCAATTCTGTCTGCAGCTCTGGGCATGAAAATTTCAGTCTGGCTGCTTTCCAGGGAAGCCCTGAGACCACACTGCATCTTCAGCCCTCTCTGACCCTCTCGAGCAGCCAAATACCCAACCCTTGCCTTGGAACTCGAGCTAATTTCCCCAGCAGTTCATTCACCACTGCTTGGGTTAATTGTGGTGCTGATTGCCTACCCCTGCACACTTACAGTCCATCACACATCTCACTTTGTGTCATTTTCCTCAGCGAGGTGTTACTTCTTTTTTTAAATTTATTTACACCAAGACAAAGAAACCACCTCCACTACTGTTTCCTTTCACAGCTTGTTTTTTATTTCACAATTGTGGTCCTGTTTGCACGGTGGTGTTGCTACAGAAAGCTGATCTTGAATGTCACTTTGCTCATTGTGAACCTCTGTGTGTTGCCTCTCAGAGGTTTTACCCTTTTCCACTAAACCTGCATCTTTTTCCAAAAATGAAATGAAAAGTGATTGACTATAGGATTATGAGCACTTTGGTTCCGGGATTGGCACCTAATTTGTTAGTTCTTCCCCAGCTCTTCACCCACCCCTGAGCTGGGCTTGCCCAGGGACAAAGTCAGAATTGGTCACAGCACCAAGCCCACCAGAGTTCAAGAAGTGTTTGGACAAGGTTCTTAGATACATGGAATAGTCATTGTCTGGAGTGTTCCTTGGTATTTTCTTGGTTGATTAGTTTTAAAAAGAAAAACCCCACATGTAGGTTGTGTGATTAAAGTGGAAAACACCTATTATGTTGTTTATTGAGGTGCTGTTAGGAGCAATTTATAACAATGTGCAAGAAGTCTTTGAATCCTTATTTAAAACAAACAAACAAACCAAACCAAACAGCAAAACACTGAAAGAAACAGTCCATTCAATAACCAGCATTTATTTGCAAGATACATGACATAGTTTTTAATATAGGTATAAAAATATCAAGCAACTGTACATCACAAAAGCAATTTTATTCAGGTATGGCCACGTGAAGATGGCACCTCTTTGTTCAAAAGTGAACCCGTTCCCACCCCAGCCACCCCAGTGAGCAGATTTCCCCCTCAGGTCTGGTGCACAGCATTTCATGAGTAATATCTGGAGGGGAATGGGCTCTCCTGAGGGGCAGGACTGGATTGGCAAGCTGGGATCTGGCAGAGCTCAGCTCTGGATAGGAAGGATCCCTGTGCCTCGCTCCGCTCCAGCTGCTCACTCATCACAGGGAAACTGATGCTAATCCCTCAAAAAAATAAACAAACACATCAACAGAGAAAAACTACAGCCTCAGCATGTCCTCAGAAACCACAAACCAACCCCATCAATCCTGCCCTGTAACAGAGCAATTCGACATTCCTCTGGGCATTGTTGACTTTCCCCAGCAGCCCCAGCTCTGCAAAACCAAACACCCTCAGCTGAGCTCCCTAAGCTGTTACTAAACCAAATCTTGAGATTTGTTCTAACCACATCTAGCTTCCACCTGATTGATGTGAGTTTTGATAAATCCCTTCTTTGATAAGAAGGATTTTCAGATCAGACCCACCCAGGCCCACATTGGAATGCAGGCATTGGCTTTATCCCAGATTATTTCACCTTGTGTTGGAAAGTGTGGAGTCACTGACCTGGAGAAATGTATTCTGCTGGGTAGCCCTAAGACATGTGGAGCTGGAGACATCACCAGTACATCACAAACATTTCTGCTGTCCCAAGAAGCCACCATGCCCCAAGTCTGGTCACTTTGCTTGTTGACCATGTCAAGACCCACACCAGTCATGCTGGTATCTCTGACAAAGGCAGTAAGTTAAAATCTAGACTTGATTGCATTTTCATGGGACTGTTATGACCTTGGTAAGCCCACACATATCCAGCACTTCACCTGTGATGCACCCTGCCACATTTCTGAAGTCTCCTCAGCTCAGAACACATTTCCCTGCTGTGACTTTTGAGTAGTTTGAAGCTCCCTGAGCTCCTGGGCAGACCCACGAGGATTCATGAGAGAACTGTAATCCTTGCATAAGTGGATCCAGTACAACTTATTGAACAGACTCTTCTGAGCACTTACCAAAGCTCAGAACCAGACCTCTCCAGCCATCCCACCTTCCCTGAAAGGGTTATTTATCAAAGAAACGAGCCCATATGATGCATCACTGAACTGCAGACACGTGTACAGGGTGCCTGCATTTTGCTATATTTTCTATACATTACCAAAAAGAAAAAAAAAAAGAAAAGTAAAAAGCAGAAAAAAGCTTTAGAAATTAGTTTTTTCTTTCCACTGAAAAAGGTGGGTGATAGCACTTTCAGTTCAACTACTGCATCAGATTGTTGAAGCAGCTCTCAGAGAGACCTGTAAAGTTGATGTTGATGGTCCCAGCTTAAGCTTCACTGCCCCTGGAGTAGGTGTTGGTTCTGACCAGTGTGTTCCGTCTAGAACTGTAAGACATATCTTCATAAACTACATTTGGGGTTTTTTTTTGGAAGTATTTCTTTATCTGCAAACCAAGGAAAACAGCCATTCAGAACAGAACCTGGAAAAGGACCCCACCAAAGGAGTCAATTTTCATCTTAGGAGTCCATCTACATCTTTAGGAATCTATCTCTTGGAAGAGGATTTAAAAATTTAAAAATTCCTTTCACAACACAATGGGGTTTTGGAGGACCAAGTGGAAATTGTCAACCTATTTATTTAACTTTCTATTGTCAGTTTGATGCAATTTCACCAAAAGTTCCTTCAGGAGTTGGATGTAACTGTAGCTCCTGCAGAAATAAGGCTCATTCTTAGTCTGTTACTGGTGACAGGAGAGACCAGTTCCCACAGGGCCACTGAGCTTTGACAGAATGATGCTGCACTACTGGTTTTTAGCAGTGCTGAAGCCACATGTGGAGGGACAAGACAGGAGCCTGTGAATCATACACTGTTAATTTTCAGTAATCTTTATGGAGCAGAAGAATCTATCAGAGACAAATAATTTCTGGGCGCTTTCTGCACTATACGAATATAAATAATCCCAGTAAAGGAAAAAAAAATTAGGAATTTTTTTTTTTCTAGAATGGGGCAAATTTTTTCTCCTAGTGCTACTTTCAGATATCAGGCTATTTATGACTTTTTGTTGCCCTTGTGTCCCCCTCCAAAGATTCCCTCACATCTCTTACAAGGTTACTAAGTACAGCTCCAGTCCCAATTCACATAAAGTTTTTAAATAAAGGACATTGAGGTGCTTTGTCCAGGGAGGTACATACAACACATGGCTGTGTGTTGTTGACCATGGGGCTCACTTGAGGTTTGTTATCAAAAGGCAAACAATACCACATTTACAAAGAGTTTAGTTACAGAAACATAAAACACTGTGTTTACTGCAAGAGTTTACAGCTGGGAGACATTAAACAAAGGCAAATAAGAAACAATAGAAAGCCACAGTTCCTAAGGTTTATCAAAAGTTTGCTTCACTCAGCCACTGTTTATAAATAATTTGCTCAACCTGGACACAGTTTTGCTTTGGCATGGTGAGAGCATACTTACATTGACATGGTACAAGGTGCAGCACACCAGTGCACAAAACAGTAGTGCCACCACGCTGAGGAGGAAATAGGTGACCCAGGAACTATTACTGCATGCCTTCTGGGAGTATGCCTGCTCCCCTTCTGCATATAAAATTATATTATTAGTATTATTAGTATTATTAAGAGGTAGAATTTTCTTTTTATTCTGAAAAAAATTGTTTACAGGTCAAGATAAAAATCAGATATCAACAGCTACACAGCCACATTTTTTATTCCATTAGTGTTCTCAGTGGCATCCCCTGGGCTCTTCCAGAGGCTGGTGATGACTGCAGGTGGCGTGGGAAGGGTCAGCAAGGAGCACTCTACAAAGGCAAAAGCTGCCACACCACTGAGCAGAAGTAGGACCACACACTCGTGACGGGAAGAGAAAATGCTTTATTCTGAGGGCTCAGAAGGAATTGTCCAGCAGCCAGTTTGTGAGCGGTACAGACAGAAGCAGGAGGGTTCTGTGATTTGCCGCATTCCCCTGAGCAGAACAGTGCTAGTGGAAAGGGTTCCAGCTCTCTAAAACCTCAGTTGATCCATATCTGAATAACCTAATCACCCTGCTGCTTTGATGTGCTGCTGTCATTCTCCCCAGCTCACTTTGCTGAGCTGTCAGCCCCGTTATGGGTGGCAGCACAGAATGAGACCACAGCCGTCTTTGCAGACTGCAGGGAGATCCTGGGCAGCTCTTAGGGCCTTTGGGAACCTTATTTTACAAAGACCTCAGCAAAGCCCAATGCCCAGGGTTGAACTGCACCAGGAAGATCAAAATCAAGCACTGGATTTCTGGTTCTGTCTTCAGCTTAGCAAATGGTGACAGCACCATCCTGCAGAAAAATAAAACCCCTCTTTGGAGCACACACAGTGCTCAGTGTGTAATAATGGTCTGTGGGGCTTGAAGTACATGCCTGAGGACTTGTTCTGTGCTCCCCAGTGTGACCTATTTTTAAACAGAAAGACTTGCTATCGGGAATTGTTTCTAAAAGACATTGATGTCACATTAGGATCAAAGAACTGTTGCTAAAAATACTTATTCACATCCTAAAATTGACAGATTATTCACGCACACACTGCAATGTTTGTTATCTTATTTTGACCTTTTTTAATTCTTTTAAGATGCAGGATTATAACAAGTTTTCTCTTCTGAAATGCCCTCTGGTTGGTTGTACAAGGCAGGTAGAAACACAGTGCCTGTTTCTGTCTCCAAGCATAACAGGACACTGATGAGGCTGAGCCCACTCTCCAAACTCTCCCAGGTACTGGATGAGCTCTACCCAGGGATTAGTGCTTTACCTGTCCTCACTAGATTTCTGCAAGCTTCTTGCCCACCTTTTGCATTACAACAGGCCTGTAGTCAGCTATGATTAAACAAGCAAGAGGAACATACCTTTAACCAGCACCATGGTGCCACTTGCTGAGAGGAGACGGGTATTTTTCCCATGTTTCACCTCCTCAGCACAGACATAGTTATCGCTGTCGTTCTCCCGTAGGTTGTGTAGAGTTATCACCATTTGCTTCCCTTCCCTCGAATACTCCAAGCGCTCGGCAAAGGCAGGTAGAATCCTTGTAGCACTCTGATTTGACACAGACAGAACACTTTCAGGTTGCACATGAGTCCTGAGCAAGTAGATCCCTTCGTCCCCACGTGAGCTGTTCATCACACAGGTGATGCTGACAGACTGGCCTTGCTGAGGGCTGGCATAGAGCGGTGACTGCTTCAAAGCCCCACCAGTTTTAGCTAAAAATAAGAGAGATTAATGGCTGTCACGTAATTATCAGGGTGCATTTTAACTAGGGAGCAAATGCAGAGGTCACAGACAGAAAGAACAGACCGCGGAAATTTAGATAAAATGAATTTTTTAACAGGCTGCCTTTACACGTGCCTTGAGAAGAAGGATATATTTTAGTACACCCTGGCATGTTTTCCTGCCTCAGGATCTGAAAGTAGGACTGACCAACAGGTTTACCTGGTTGTAAAGGGTCTGTACCTACCTAAAAAATACATATACTGATCCCTTCTAAGGATCAGCCTCATCAGCATGTCCTTGGACATGGATCATTGACTGCTTTCTCCAGTGACATGAAGACATAGGAAGATCTGGGGAATATTGGTCTGGATCTACTCATACAATGTGAGTCCCATCAATGTTGAAAATTATGTTCAAAAAGTAATTATTAACGGTTTGCTGTCCAGCTGGGAAGACGTTCCACTGAGTTCCTCTGAGGACGGGCCTTGTTCCTTTTAAAATTATCATTAATGTGGGTGAGGGAATGAAGACAGAATGTATCATGGTTGCCAAAGGAAGGTGGCAAGCATTTTAGAGAAGAGGATCAGAATCAAAAAGAGAGATAAAGTAACTTATAAAATAATTTGAAGAAACAGTACACGATAAACAAGATGGAATTCATTTGAGAAAACAGAGCCAAGGAGTTTGAAAAGAGGAGCCTAAGGAAGAACATGACAATTCCAAATGGATATAAATTACAGTTGCTGATCCAGCAATCAGTTAGATTTCACGTGCCTTGGGGACAGGAAAGGAAGAAAACTCTAAGTTTTGGTAAAGATATTTCTCATCAGATGGTCTCATCAGAAGGATGGGTACATAGAGGAATAAGCTGCCAAAGAATAGTGGGGACTCAAACCCTCTTCTAATGCAAAAGAAAATAAAGACAGAAAAGTTGTTCCCCCAACCACAGAAATCTGCCAAAGGGAGCACTTGTGCCCATTCATCAACTATTAAGAACAGAAAAAAGCCTGTACCCACTCATGCCCAACTTGCAGACCCTGCCTAGCACCAGCTCCCAATAATTACCAATATGTCATTTAAGATTAAATAGTAAAAAAAAAAAAAAGAGATTTGCAAAAACTGCTATTAAAAAAAAAAGGCTCATTGCTCTGCTGGTTATTCGTAAAGATTTCACAGATTGTTTTGGAAAAAGAGCTCTAGGTCATCACTGTTTCCAAACTGCTGCAGCTACCTATGACTAATAGGTGAAAACCTGTAGGTAGAATTAAATCAGTCACAAATTGATGTTCTAGGGTGGATGGGGTTTTTTTGGTACTGTACTATCTAATGCTCTTTCTTCAATATTTCAGGGACCAGACCCACACTTTCCTTCAAATCTGTTCATCACCTGAGCAGACACGAGTACAGTTCTGTCAGACTCTTCCTCCCATTGTGCTTGCTTCCAATCTTTGATTTAAAATACAGGTCTGTATTCAATAATTCATGACATAAAAGGTGGAATTGCAATACCTCTCACCACTACCATGGTTCTCTTCCCATCCAGTATTTTGTGATGGCCATTGACTGTAACATACTCAATGCATAGGTAGATATTGGAGTCAGATTCCTGTACATTGTGCAAAGTTGTCCTGTAATTCCTTCCTTCCCTCGAACACTCGGTGCGACCAGCCAAATCAGGAGAGATATTTGGAGGATTGTCCTTGGGAAAATATATCATATTGACTGTCTTTCTGCTACTTTTCAAGTGCATTCCCAGGTGCTCTCCTAAACCACTGATTGAGCAAGTTATGCTGATGGAGTCTCCTTCCCAAACACTGAGAACGTCTGTTGACTGTTCGTTTTCTCCACCTAAAGATAAGAAATGCAATTGAGATGGTAACACCAGAGTTCTTATTGATCTTCTAATATCAAAGTAGTTTTCAGAACCAACAGCTCTGTCAACAGAACGGCTCTGTAGGATTGGACCTTAGTCTTGCTATGCTGTGTGTGTCATCTCCTGGCTGCCCTGAACCCTGTAGTGCCTTTCATGCCCATGGAACTGTTCAACTCAGCACCTTCCCAAAGCTTAAAAGGCCTTGGCAAAAAAAGTGTCTTCTGTCACTCGTGCAAAAAATTTAGTTTGCTCAGTTTAGATTCTCAGAATGATCCTATTAGTTCTCAAAATACAAGCTTCACTGAACTCAGCCTGACAGTTGGAGCTGTTTGAGGGTCTAAATCTGGAATTCAAAGGTAAGAAAAAAATGACAGAGAATGGAGGAAAAATACACCTTTTTTTTTTTCTTTTTAAAGAAAGGAGCATTTAGCAACACCAGGAAACTGGATAATACAGCCTCTCGGGAAGAGGACTGCAGAGGGTGTAACTCCAATCTATAGTAAGAAACAAAGGCACCAAAATGCATAATGAGACATCTTTGAGTTCTCTAATTACCTCAGGATCAAAAGAAACTGAACAGTAAATATTTGTGTAATGAATAGCAAGAAACAGAGGGCTCAAAAAGAAATTACACCAGAAGCAAGGAAAGAAAAATTAAATAGAGAGTACTGCGTGTCTAGGACAAACACAGTTTAGAAAAGGTTGAATTGTTCAATGTTGAGAAGCAAATTAAGGATCCCTACATACTTAGGACAATTTAATTTAATAAGGGAACAAACACAGAATTCAAACACAGAAAGTCCAGATTGTTGGAATATAGATACAGTAGGTCACTCCACCTGATCAGACATGGGCATGTTCCTCCTACAACACTTAGAGAAGGAATTAAGGCAACCCAGGAGTCACAAGCAATTATCTCCCAAAGCAGCAGAGAAATGGGGTGATGGATAAGGCTGGAGAAGTGCAGAGCACTGAGCCTTTACCATCAGAAAAGGAAAGCCCATCAACCTAAAAATCAGTACTTCCAAACTGACCCAGTTTAAACTTTTCTGTGACCTAAGACCTCACGAAGTTAATGACAAGCAGACGCAGCCCATCACTCATATTCTCCAGAGATCAAGGTAGAAGTTCAAGAGTTAAATTATATTGGCAGAAATCAGCATTGACTCCTAAATAACCACTAACTAAAGAACATTCTCACCAGTTTCACTGCACCTTCCTTTCAGACACACTGATTTATAGATAATATGTTTTTCTCAAGTCACCATCCTTTCCATTGTCACTGGTGATGGGGAAAAAAAGGAGAGACTGTTTGGAGACACTTTTTTTTCCCTCAGCCTGTTCCCCTCAGAAATTCACACTGTTTACCCTAAGTGTGCCTCCAGCTTGTAGTCTTAATAACCACAGCAACATTCAGCAGTGGATATTTCTGGTAAGGCTTTATTCCACCTTCAATAAAAATGTCCCTAGTAAATATAAATATTCATTTCTGTCAGTAGTGGGCTCCCCCGTCATCCTTAAAAATACAGATATAATTCATCTGAAATTACTGGGAAAACACTTCTACAGAGAATGATTGCTTTGTAGAAAAGTTAAGATCATAACAATTTTTCTTTTATTTTTTCTTTCTACAAGTTCCTTTTTTAATTTCAGAGATTTTTTTTTTTTCCCAAATTTCCACCTGCTTTCACTAATAGTGAATCTGGCAGGAAGCTGTTTGAGAAAATAGACTAAAGTAGGAGGGGGATTGAACACAGTGAAGCAAGAAAGAGGAAGGAAAACACTGAACTGGAAGAGCATCTACATTGTACCTACCGGTCTGGGCAGGGAAGCACGGGAGGAGCAGCAGACAGAGGGATGCAGTTGGGAGACAGGACATCCACAGCATTTTCAAAGGTCTCTTTAGTTGCTCTCTACAATCTGACTGATGAGTTAAAGACCTGAGGAAAGGGCTGATGCCCCAAGCTGGCCTGTTGCCTTTCAGCTACATCAGCTCTCTACTAAAAGAAGCCAGCAGGATGCTGCTTTTGCTTTTCTGTTCCAATGAATGTGACAGAGAGGTGTATCTTGATGTTGACTTCACACTAAAACCGCCCCTGGTTTCCTGCTAGTGAGCAACTCCGAGCCCTGAGGGTAGGAGTAGAAAGTTGTCTATGGTGAGCACCCACCTTCCCTTTGAAGACAACTGAGAACAGTGACACTCACTCAAATTTGCCCTTCACAGCACCCAAGCCAGGCAGTTGCCCTTCAGTTGTGGCCTCACTGGA